TAATTCAGTCTGTCATTGGCTATCTTAAAATGAGGTACCCAGTCACCTGTACACAGTCGTTGAGATATTGTTTGACTAGTGTATAGTACACAAAGGACAGTCACCTCCTTGAGCTAGCCTTTATTCAGTTGGTAAAAATGCTGAACAGAACAGGGCCAAGGGCTGAGTCTGTTAGGCACCTTCCCCCAGGTTGACACTGATCCAATAATCAGTCTTTAGCCTAGTACAGGGTAGTGAATCTGTGGATTCCAGGCCACATGTGGCCCTCTAGGTCCTCAAGTGCAGCCCTTTGACTGAATCCAAACTTCACAAATCCCCTTAATAAAAGGATTTGTTCTGTAAAACTTGGACTCACTCAAAAGGCTGCACCCAAGGACCTAGAAAGCTACATACAAGCCTCGAGGCTGCAGGTTCCCCACCCCTGGCCTTGTATAGTCAACCAGTTAACAGTCCACCCACCTTGTGCTATTATGCAGCATCTTGTCTCCACCCATATTAGGGGGAACTTTGTTACATGCTGTGTTGAAATCCAGGAATATTATATCTGTGGCATTCCCTAGGTCTGCCAATACTGTTAAAAAAGAAAATGAAGGCAGCGTGATAACAAGCCATGACTTAGCCCAGGGCTTAGTATGTTGTAGACACTTAATGTTTATTGAATTGAAATCTAATAGCTTGAAATTTAAAGAAATATGGGAAGACTTACATGAACATATGCAGAGTGAAATAAGCTGAACCAGGAAAATAGCACACAAGGACTATGACAATGTAAATGGAAAGAATTGTAAAATGAGATTGAATGCTGTGTAATTTTAATGACTGATTTCCATCCTTAGAAAATTTACCTCTGTCCCTTTGTTGGGGAAGTGAGGACTTCCAGGTCAGGAATATTACAGATCCCATCCGATTTGGTCAGTGTATTTGTGATGTTGCTTGGTTGGTAGGTTGTCCTTCCTTTCTGGAAGAGGCCCAAAATGACATCACTGTGCAAGATTTAGGTTACAGTGCATCCGATTGTAGCTGAACAGACCAATATGTGCATGGGACGTGCTACCACAGGTCAGCCACAAACAGTCCATGTGAACATTCAGGGCGGACTCTCTAGATTTTCACATCCTAAGTTTCTTTTGAGCTATTTCAATTCTGCTTTGCTTGTAACAGCACCTTCTCTGATGTGGGCATGACATGCTGGGCGGTCCTGTGCCAGTGTCTCCCATGTCACACAATCAGTTCCAAAATTCTTAGGAGAGACTTTGAAAGTGTCCTTGTATTGCTTCTTCTGATCACCAGGTGAACACTTGCCCTGTGTGAGTTCTCCATAAAATAGTCTTTTTGGCAAGCATACATTTTGCATTCAAACAATGAAGCCAGCCCACCAGAGTTGCTCTCTCTGAAGTAGAGTTTGAATGCTTGGTAGTTTAGTTTGAGAAAGGACCACAGTGTCTGGTATCTTATCCCGCCTGGTGATCTTCAGAATCTTCCTAAGACAATTCAAATGGAAGCTGTTCAGTTTCCTGGCATGATGCTGGTATGCTGTCCAGGTTCCACAGGCATACAACAATGAGGTCAGCACAATGGCTCAATAGACCTTCAGTTTGATAGTCAGTCTAATCCCTCTTCTCTTCTACATTGTATGTCAGTTTCATGACTGCACGCTTGCCTGGATTCTGGGTAACAGACAATGCTCTTTTGCTTTCCCAGTCACCAATGGAGTGAAACAAGGCTGTGTGCTTGCTCCCATGTTTTTTAACATGATGTTTTCAGCCATGTTGTCAAATGCCTTCAATGGGACAAACACAATGTGAAGGTCAGCTACCGCACTGATGGTAAATTCTTCAACTTGAAAAGGCTGCAAGCCAAGACCAAAATGGAGGGAGTGTTGGTGTGTGATTTTCTGTTTGCAGATGACTGGGCGCTCAGTGCAGCCTCTGAAGCTGAGATGCAACAAAGTATGGCTTCATTCTCTGCTGCTTGTGCTAATTTGGCCTAACACAGGTCCACCATCCATACGTGGAACCATCGGTTACAGCAGATGGAGAAGTTTTGAATGCTATGGATAAGGTCACTTATCTTGGTAGTGTACTCTCCACAGATGTACACATTAATAATGAGGTTGACACACTCATTGCCAGAGCTAGCTCAGTGTTTGGTAGGCTCCAAAGGAAAGTGTGGGAGAGAAGATTTTTGATATATAAAAAGTATGCGAGACATAGTTTCTGGGTAATTAATCATTTTATTAATTATGCTAGTGGATAACTAGTGGCAAGATCCCTCATGGAACCCACTCAATGCTTATATGCCCTTGGAAGAGTGGGTATTCCTGAGGGTGGCAATCAACTCTGATTGGTTAACAGTTAATTAGAGGAATTTTATAATGAGAGGTGGACCCTTTCTAATGAGGGGCTGCTTTCTGAGCATTCACAAGCCATCTTTTTAACAATGCTTCTAGTGAAAACAGCCTTTAGTGAGGTTGTGGAGTAGTGCTAATGTTTTTTATTTTTTTTTAATTAAAATTTTTTTTGTGTGTGAATCCCTTAATGAGGAAGTGAAAATATGCCACATTTCCTATCCAATTTTCTTTTTAAAAAAATTATTGATGCCTTTTGTCTTTAAATCAGTCATTTTGATACCTCTTTTCCTTCACTGAATCTACACTTGTGACATAGAAAATTTTTAAGTAAAAATATTCAATATAGCAATTGCATTTGGTTATATATTATATACATATATTATGTATACATATACATATATACATATACATATATACATATACATATATACATATACATATATACATATATATGTGTGCATATATACATACACACACACACACAATATTTTATCCATGTGGTCCCTAACAGTCCTTTGTGAATTTTTCAAATTTCTTTTAGTGACCTTTTAATTTTTTTAAATAAGTGTTTATTGATAGCTTTCTTTTATATTACCATCATTTCCTCTATTATCTTCCTTTCCCAGAGAGCCATCCCATATAACAAATGATATTTTTTAAAGACTCTTCCCCCCCAGAAAAAGAAGACAAAATCAGTATCATTGATTAGTACCTCCAAAAAAGTTTGTAAGTACAGTACTTGTAAACCTCTGCAAAGAGAAGTAAATGAAGTAACTTCTCATTTCTTCTTCTGAGCCATGGTTGGTCTTCAGAATTTTGCCACATTTACTTTTTGTATGTATGCGGTTTTTGTACACGCTGGTTTTTTTCCATTTTATTGTTACGTGTATTGTTTTCTTGGCTCTGCTTACTTCACTCTATCTCAGTCCATGCTTCTCTGTTTTCACTATATGCATCACTCCTTAGAGAACAGTAATATTCCATTACATTCATGTCCCACAGTCTGTTTAGCCATTCCCCATGGATGGGCATCCACTTGGTTTTCAGTTTTTTGCTATCCCCCAAAGTGCTGCTATCCATCATTTGTTGCACATGGGACTTTCTTCTTATCAATAGCCTCCCTGGGGAATAAGCCTGGTAATTTCTGGTTCAAATGGACATTTTAGTCACTTTATTTGATTCCAGATTGGTTATACTGATTCACAGTTCCATCAACAGTGTACCAGGGTATGGATCTTCCTACAGGAAAACAGCTGGAAGCATCTAGAAAGCTCAATCAGCTAGATAACTCAGAGTTATAGAGTGCTGTGCCTGGAGTCAGACCTGAGTTCAGATCGGGCTTCTGACACTTACTAGCTGTGTGACCCTGGGCGGGTCACTTAATTTCTGTTTGCCTCAGTTTCCTCAGCTGTAAAATGGGAATAATAATAACACCTACCTCCCAGGGCTGTTGTGAGGATCAAATGAGATATTTGGAAAGAGTCTAGCACACTGGCTGGCACATAGTAGGTGTTTCACTAGTGCTTGTCTCCTTCCTTCCTACAACCCCTTCGACACTGCAACACTAAATGAAAGCTCTGTTGTTTTTGGTTTGCATTTTTCTTATTATTGGTGATTTGGAACATTCTCTCATGTGGTTGTGAATACTTTGCAGTTCTTTTGAGAACTGTTTGGTCATTTCCTTTGACAACTTATCAACTGGGGAAGTGGCTTTTGGTCTTTTCTACGTCTATATCAATATCATCTGTACAGCTACATCATTTATATCTGTATCATCTATTTTTCTCTCTGTATCTGTAATTGTTTGTATATCTTATACTAAACTCTTACCAGAGAAATTTGATACAAAGATTTTTTTCTCCCCATTTGACTGCTTCCTTTCTTATCCTAAGTGCATTATTAATCTTGCCTCTTAGGATATTTTCCTCATTAACTGTGTAGAACATAGTAGAGTCACTGGAGGGAAAGGGGACTTTTTCCAAATACAGGCAGCTGGTTTGTTATAGGTGTAGTTGAGGAGGTAAGACGTCCTGGCTTCCAGGATGCTGGTGCTGGTTGAGAAGTGATAGTCCATGCTCAGACCCTAGAATTCCCCTCTTTACTTGGTGTTGTATCTGCTGCAGGGCAAGAGGAAGTTGACCTTCAACATGATCATGTGAGTTCTAGCACCTGAGTATCAACTTCAGCTGATCTGTGCTCAGAGAGCTTAGCACTTACCTTGTAAATAGTGGATGCTACATTAAGGCATCTGAAGGATTATGCAGACCTTACCTCTCTCCTGCCTTAGTAGGCATGTAGGGACAGCAAGGTGGTTTAGTGGGTAGAGGGCAGGGCTTGAAGTCAGGAGGACCCATCCTCCTGTGTTCAAATCCAGTCTCAGACACTTACTAGCAATGTGACCCTGGGCAAGTCACTTCACCCTGTTTTCCTCAGTTTCCTCAGCTGTAAAATGACCTGGAGAAGGAAATGGCAAATCCCAAGAAAACCCCAAATGTGAGGTCATTAAGAGTCAGACATGATTGGAAACAACTGAACAAAAATATGTGTAGGGATTTAACACTACCATTCTAAGACAGAAGAAGCATTTGAGGTATGGGTAATCTTATTCTTGGCCAGAGTAACAGTAATTCATTCTTTGTTTTGCTCTCAGGACTCCATTCCAGTGTCCACTTCCCTTCTTGGAGATACCTCTGACACAACCTCTAACTGTCTTGCTCAGCGATTAGGTATGTACATAATACCTCATTTTACACAGTAGATCTGATGCTCAAAAGTCTTCTGTAAGATCACTTAAAGACATGGGGAGCTCACTCTTTAACGGAATGCTGAAACGCCTTACTTTGTAGAGCAGATTTTCCTTTAAGGGAATAATTAATTATCTGATATGGCATCAGTGGAAGTATAGATTTTTGTCCAATGCATTTTCTTGATGCTCATTCTGCTCATGGAATGGTTTGTCTGCCACAAATTACCCTTTTGTCTCAGGGCCAGCATTTTCTCAGTTGGGTTGGGTTGGTTGCCTGCCAGGTTGATTGGTGACAGATTTATTAAGCTTCACTCCTGAAAGTAATTCATCTCTTTAGATCTTGGCTGAAGCTCTAGAAACATGGAACCATGACATGTGAGAAGTAGAAGAGATATTAGAGACCATCCAGTCCAGCTCTCTTACATATCAGAAATTGAGGCCAAGAGAGGCTGGGGACTTGCTTAGGGTCATGAAGCTAGACATGGCAAAGCCGAGACTAGAATCAAGTTCTCCTGACTCATAATTCAAAGTTCTTTCTACTTCATAAGAAGTAGGTGAAGGCAGCCTAATGTCATGGATGAAAAGTTTGAAAAACCTCATTTTTGGGTAATTAATCTTTTTATTAATTAGGGCTAGAACATAATTAATAAAATGATGGTCATTTGGTGTTCCCAACAGGTAGGAATTAATTCTGATTGGTTAACAATTAATGAGAGACCGAATGTTATAATGCGAGGTGGGTCTGTTCTAATGAGGGCTGGGTACAGGACTCTGATCTCATCACTCATGGACAAAGAGAGACTCATCTTCAAACCAGACTACTCCTGAGCCTCAGGCAGTCTGTACAAAAGGATCTCTCCTCCACCCAGCCAGTGAACAGTGAACATGGTGGCTAAGAATTCCACCTAGATTGAATTCTCCTTGTAAGGGCTTCTACTTGGGTGAGGATTGGCCAGTCTCATCTATCAGCAATGTCCTTCACAAGGATTGGTTGAATAACTTATGGGGGGTTTGTTTCTGAATGAGGAAACAGGAAGGGGAAATCTTCATCTCAATCATTATTGGTTATTTATATAAGAGAAATAAATATTTCTCTCACTAGGAGATAGAGTTATGGTGTAAGTTTAATGTCTGGGTCTCTAAGCAAAATTCATTTTCCCTCCCCCAGTCCATTGGCCCCAGAAATGCCATACACATTGACACATACCCTAGATCAGAATGCCAAACTCAAATAGAAATGAGAGCCACTAGCCATATGTAAAGATCCCTGTGGGCATGTGTTGTATTGACTTAGAAAACTACATATTAACCTCATCTGTTTTTTATTGATTTTTATTGATTTTGTTAAATATTTCCCAATTACATTTTAATCTGGTTCAGGGAGCACTTGTCAGTGTTGCAGGCTTTATGTGGGGGCTGTGGGGTTTGTGCGTTTGACACCTCTGCTCTAGACCCGTTGTTGGGTCTTCAGCGTTTTTTGGGGCAGTAGACACACTTGTGAGAATGAAGAAGTAACTTTCTTTGACCCTTCCTGTGATGTTAAAATGAACTTGCCCAGGGTCATACAACGAGTAACAGTGTCTGAGGCTGGATTTGAACCCAGGAAGAGGAGTCTTCCGGACTCCAGGCCTAGTGCTCTATTCACTGTGCCACAAAGCTCCTGGATACTATAATTTATGAAGGTTCACCATAGTTAGGCCTACCCCAGCAACCCAACCCGTGTTTTTCTAGACTTCTTCACTCTATGCCACTAAATGTGTAATGTACACCTCTTGCCCTGGAAACTATCTTCAAATCAGTACTACTAGTGTTTCTACAAAAGGCAAGTCAATTGATTGGCCTATTGCTTCACTCATCATTGTGACTTCCCAGCCCAAAATACCCTGCTCTGGCCAATCCTCCCCTCTGTGGGTTATCGTGTTAGGTTAGAATATAATTGCCCTAAGCACAGGGACCATATATCTTTTGGATGTGTTTTCCTAGCATTTAACACAGTGCCTGACATATAGTAAGTGAATGATAATGTTTTTTTTCATTCATTTAATCAGGGTGGTAAGAGAACTAGAATCTGGCTTCAGACACTAACTAGCTGTGTTACCCCGGACAACCCTTTTTACCTCAGTTTCCTCATCTGTAAAAAAGAACCACTCTAGTGTCTTTTCCCAAAAACAAAATAAAAGGGATCATGAAGAGTTGGACATGACTGAAATGACTGACCAGCACCAAAACAAATTTAGATTGCACTAATTCAGAATTTGCAATAATTCATGGGCAGTATTCTAGACACACTAAATAAAGTTTGAAACTACTTCCTCTAAATATTTTGGTCTTAGGCTATTCATTAAAATATCAGTTCCTTTTTTCAAACTTAAAGGTCCTCAAGAAATTAAGATTACCTTTACTGTGCCTTAACCCATCATCTCCCTGCTTCTCCTCTAGGCCAGCCTTGCTTTCCCATTACCTAAACCAGGGTCACTTTCAATTCAAACATTTATTAAGCATCTATAAAGATAAAAAGAAAACTCTCTGCCCTCCATTCTGGTCTTGCCTGAATTACCAGGATATTTGAGGGAAATAATTCAATTCTTTGTCTAATTGTCTGCTACACTTTGAATTATATAAGCCAAGTCACTGTGGCACAGTGAATAGAGCACTAGGCCTGGAGTCAGGAAGACTCCCCTTCCTAGGTTCAAATCCAGCCTCAGACACTGTTACTAGTTGTGTGACCCTGGGCAAGTCACTTACCCCTGTTGGCCTCAGTTTTCTCATCTGTAAAATGAGCTGGAGAAGGAAATGGCAAACTAGTATCTTTGCCAAGAAAACACCAAGTGGGGTCACAGATAGTCGGACACAACTGAAAAAATAAATGAATGTAAAATAAAGAAATAGAAGAGTGGCGGGTACAAACCACTCTAGTTACAGAGTCAGACGAAGATGACTGAACAGCTCCCTTAATGTCCTATCTTGTAGTTGTGCTTAAATTTTTTGAACCCAAGTGCTGAACCTTACATTTGTCCTTATTACATTTCATCTCATTATACTTGAGCCCTCATTCTTAGCTTGTAGAGATCTTTGTGGATTTTATTTCTGTTATCCTGTGTATTAGGTATCTCCTCTCAGCTTTTTATTACTCAGGAATTTGATAAATATTCCATTAGGCTACAATGATGATGACAACCATTCATGTATGCAGTGCCTTAATTTTTGCAAAACACTTTCCTTAAACCCTGTGAGGTACAGGTATTATTATCCTCATTTTACAGATGAGGAAACTGAGACTCTGAAGATTAAGTGACTTGACTGTAGGCAAATTACTAAGTACCCAAGTTATTGATAAAACTTTTAAATAGAACAGGGCCCCGGGTCGAGTCTTGTTTCATGCCATTACAGACCTATCTCTGGGTTGGCGTTCTTCTGTTAATTCATGCATTTGGGGGTTAAGGACAGTTACTCGTTACAAATCTATATAGCTACACTAAGATGCAGTTCATACCTCTGCTACGTAAGAATATCTTGCAAGAGACATTGTCAAATGTCTTGCTGAAATTAAAATACATTCTGTCATTGGCATTCCCCTCATTTGCCAGTATGAGAACTCTTGTTCTTATAACATTGGAGGTTAGTCTGGCTGGACTTCATCACTTGCCATCTAGTGATGACTGCTTTGTATCTGAAATGCTCATCTACCATCTCTGTAATAATTCCTTTTAGGACTCTCCTGGAGATTGCTGACAGCTTTTTGGCTTTAGTAAACATAGCCCTCCTTTTTGTGGCTTTTGTTGAAGGAGTCACAAAGAGTAGGCTCCCTGGCTCACCGTCTTCTCAGAAGCCTCTGGGGACCCATAACCAGCTTCCTGATCTCTCATTTCCAGAACCCATCTCATTCCACTTTTTGAAAATCAGGAAATTGGCCTGGATCTAGTCTACAGGTAGTGCTCCCATTCTGCATGATCACACATTGATCTCCAGCTGTGATTTGGAAGTCAAAGCTGCAAAACCTTCCTCTACCCTGGGGTGTCAGGATCCTGGGCCAGGGTTTAGAGAAACAAGGATGTCTCTTTTTACTTTTTATATGGCTAGAGTTGTATCTTTGATCTTGGGTTAGTAATTCATTTGAATTCAGTAGACATCTAGTAAGCACCTACTGTGTTCAAGGCATCCTGGGCTAGACCCTGGGAATATAAAAAGACAAAAGTCACCTGGGAATATAAAAAGACAAAAGTCAACTTTTTTCCTCTATGGGCATTCAAGGAGACCTTCACCTATTGTGGGGTTAATTTTTCACTTAGTCATGTTTATTTCTCCTAGTCTAGTCTAAATATTAGTGCTTATGAGATGATTTTCTCCAAAATGTTTTTGTGAAGCTATTGTTGACAGGCAAGGTGTGGAAACTGGGCTGTTACTCTTGAAGTGGGTGAAAGGCACTTGGAGGAAAAACTATTTTTTTTAACTTCCTCATTCTAAGATGAATTCTCCTGAAGCATTGGATTATGTGACCACAGAGTTCCCTTCTCCCCTTGCTGACTTTTTGTCTACAGAGCATATTAAATAGAGGAGAATGCTAAAAATAAGGTGATTGAACAGCTAAGCTGCAAAGGCTGAAACTGGCTGAGCCTTTGGGGATATCCTAGATGATTCTTGTTCAGGCGTGGAGTGAGCTAGGTAATCCCTTACAACACTGGGCATTGTCTGACTTCTGCTGTGGCCAGTGGGCAGGTAGATGCACTGACTTGTCTCTTTAGTAAGTCAGGGGCTGTTTCCTTTTAGTGCTAATGAACAGTTTTCATCATCATCTTCCCTTTAGCAACTCACTGTGGGTGGCACTGTCTGGCACTGTACAGAGCTCTCTGTATAAACCTGGCCTGTGATGAATAGCAGTTTAGAACCTAAGACAGGAGAGCACTGAAGGGGCCATCAGACCAACATATGAATGGAAAATAAGATATACATCATATACAGAGGGCAGTTAAGTGGTACAGAGCACTGGACCTGGAGTCAGGAAGACCTGAGTTCAAGTTCAGCTTCAGATACTTACTAGCCCTGTGACCCTGGGCAAGTCACTTCACCCTGTTTGCCTTAGTTTCCTCATCTGTAAAGTGGGGCTGGAGAAGGAAATGGCAAACCACTCCAGTATCTTTGCCAAGAAAATCCCAAATGGGGTCACAAAGAGTTGGACGTGACTGAAAAATGCCTGAACAGCAATAACAAAATTGTATACAGGTTAAGGACCAGCTTATTTTAGGACTAGGAGACAGGGTTCTTCCTGCATAACACTAGGCAGCTAGAATGTGCTTTCCTTATTCCATTCTGCCTCCAAAAGTAGGTGAGACCGAGACACAAGTGAGGGGAAATTGATAGCAGTACTAAACAGTCGTCAGTCTGAAATCATTTATTAAGTACCTACTATGTGCCACTCATTTTGCTAAGCACCAGGGGTACAAAGAAAGGCAGAAGACAACCTCTGCCCTTGAGGAGTCTAATGGAGGAGGCGACAAGCAAAGAACTGTGTACAAAGAAACTTGTATACAGGATGATTAGGAAATGAGCAGCAGAGGGAAGGCACTGGCATTCAGGGGGATTGGGAAGGGCTTCCTGTGGAAGGTGGGATTTTAGCTGGCACTTAAAGGAAGCCAGGAGGTGTTGATGAGGAGGGAGGAGAGCATTCCATGCATGGAGAACAACCAGGGAACATGTTGGGAGGGGGAGTGTCTTGTGTGAGGAACAGCCAGGAGGCCAGTGTCACTGGATGGCCTAGTACATGTTGGGGTGGAAGGTGGGGCAGGAGAGGTTAGGAAGGGCTTTGATGTCCAGCCAGAGGATTTTTATTTTATTCTGGAGGCAAAATAGGGAGCTACTGGAGTTTATTCAGCGGAGGGGTGGATGGCAGTGATGTGGTCAGACCTTCCGTTTATCTAAGGGAGTATAGTAGAGAGAAGAAAACGTGAAGTTAGAACTGGCCCCTGACATTCCCCACCTTTGTTTCTTATCCTGCCTTTTGCTAATCTAATTTAAATTATCTAAATAATTGCATTTTGAAAGTAGCCATTCAGCTTGGCCAAGAATCCCCTCTACAGAATTGCCCACAAGTGCTTGACATTAGCCAAATTTAGGCTGTCCAGGTGATCTAAATCTTTGGGGGTAGGTGAAGGGGTTTTCCACTACCTGAGATAGAGGAGGAGAAAGTCAAAGAGAGAGTTTTGGAAGGAGTAAGTACATTCCCGGCGTGGGGAGGGGTGGCAGTGCACTTTTATGCATGCACAGAAAGGGAGGAAACAGGATGTAGTTAGGGAATAGCTTCAAAATTCATTAAATTTTATCTTTTTAAGTGAAAAAATTTTTTTCATCCTCTTTCCCTTCTTCCCCTTCCCATTAAGGGGAAAAAAACCCTTATTACAAAATATTCATAGTCTAGTCATGCAAGAAACATTCCTACATTGGTCATCCTCCAAAATGTGTTTTACATATTGAGGCCATTATCTCTCCATCAGGAGGTGGGTAACAGTCTTTATCTTTCATCCTGATTAGTCTTTGCATTGATCAGAGTTCATAGGTCTTTCAAATTGTCTTTACATCATTGTATAAATTCTGTTTCTTTTCACTTCATTCTGCATCAGTCTTCCCAGGTTTCTCTGGAATTGTCAATTCCATCATTTTTTCTGGTATAACAGTATTCCTTTCCTTCCCTTCCCCTTCCCCCTTCCCTGTCCTGTCATGTCCCATTCTGTCTTTGGCCTTGTAATGATCCAATCAGAAGGGTCCAAAGGAATGCACAGTTTAATAACTTTTGGGAGCAGTTTCAAATCGATTGCTGACCCAGTTCACAGCACCATCAATAACACATCGTGGTGCCTATTTCCCTGCATCTCCTCCATTGTTTCTCATTTTCCTTTTTAGTCAGTTTCACCAACCCGGTGGGCCTGAGTTGGCTCGTTCAGAGTGCATGGAAGATAGTAGTATGAAAAGAGTTTGCAAAGGGTCTTAAATCTAAGTCAGTCCAAAGAGTTTGTAGTTATGGCACATGAGGCAATAGGGAGTTACTGAAGGTGATTTAAAAAAGAAAAAATTAACAGCAGTCCATAGCCAGAGCTGTGCATTAATTAGGAAGTGTTGTAGCAGCTGTATTTTCCAAGAAGCCATCTCTGATAACCCCTCCCACCAAAAATGATCCCTCTCTCCTCAGATTTTCCCATAGTACTTTGTCTGAAGTTATCTCTTTTGCCCCTAACACATCCATTACATTCTTCCTTATATCATACTTATTTGGGTCTATATCATATTCTCCCTTTAGAACATAAGCTCCCTGAGGACATGTTGTCTTTCTTATTTTTCTTTTCTTTTTTTTTTCAAGCAGTAAGTAAGTAAAAAAAGTAAGTAACCATAGTAGATGGTTAATAGATATCTGTTAAATTGATTGGAATTGAATTCCTTCAAAAACTAGGCCCCCATCTAAAGGAGAGGCTGTTTCTATCATGTTTTCTCTTCCTCTATATTTTTTCTTGTTATGAGGTCCCATGGAGGGCCTGGCAGGCGGTAGAATTACAAAGTTCTCTAGATTCTGTTGTCACCAGTTCCAGGAAGGCTCCTACATGTATGGGTTGAGTCCCCACATATGTGAGATTCCTCCGTGTTGTCTGAAGTTGTGGCTTGAGAAAGGTAGTGTGTGGTTTGTCATGTCCTAGGTACTTGCTGGGGTACTGAACTTGGGATAACATGGATCTGCTTTGGTGTCTCATTTTTTGTCTAGCTGCTGCTCTGGGCACAAGAGCAGGGCCTGGCTGTGCTGCCAGGATCCCAGGGCAGCAGCTACGAGGCCGTGGGGCTCTTTGTGAATTGACTGGCAGAGACTAAGGTGATGCATCCTGTCCTTCCAAAAGGGCTCTTGGTGCTACAGAATGAGGCCTGCAGGGCCCCTTATTTCAGTGCGGGCTGGATATTTTTTTGGCCAGGTTACTGTTGCCACCAAGAGTGGACCATGTTCGTGATTACCTCCTATACTTTGGGGACGGGGAGAGGGACTGCTACCTTGGTGACAAATAGAGGCAGACCCCCCTGAGATTTCTATTCCCACATGAGGGACAATTTACCTTCAGCACAGTCATTGTACTGGACAGAAACTGTTCTTTTTGAGGGTGCCTTCTTTTGGTTAGTCAGTAAGCATTTATTGAGTGCTCACTGTGTACCAGGCACTGGGCTAAGGCTGGAGATCAAAGACAGACAGGAAACAGTCCCTCTCCTCAAGAAGCTCAGTGAGTCAGCAAGTCAGTAAATATTAAGCACCTTCTGTGTACCATGGACTGTGCTAAGTGCGGGGGACACAAAGATTTAGACAATTCCTGCCCTCAAGGAGCTCACAGTCTAATGAGAGAGACAAGAGGCAAACAAATACGTACCAGCAAGCTATGTACAGGATAAATAGGAAATAATTTTAGTTGAATTTAAATTAATTTAATTAAAATTAATTTAACCAGAATTAATTTAATTAAGAAATGTCAACCTGACCTAACTGGTCTGTAACCTGTGGATGGCCAGAGCTGAACAGAGCTGGCTAGAGACAGGAGAATCAGAAACAGAAGTTTAATTTCAAAGTGAGGGAGACGGCTTGCCGATAAGGAGGGGAATTAGACACATGTGCCAGGGCCCTGCCCCTACTGGTGGGACCCAAGTGAGCTGTAGTCCTAACAATGAGGGGTAATAGCAACAACGTGACAAGTTTGATTCATAGCAGGGCTTCATGACCTGAATTTGTCCGACCTCATCTGGTGCTTGTCTGAGCTCAGAGAACACGTGGTACTGGTCAAAGCAATACAGTAATTTTTTGGGATTTTTCCAGAGGGAGAGCACAAAGGATTGCTGTTATGACTGGCTCAGGGCACAGCTTGCTTGCTGGGCCTTAGCTCTGGAAGACAGAGGGTCTCCTAATATCTTGACATTATGACATCCCTAGAGTTTGGGGGTTAGCCAGTGGTTTAGATCATTGGGAGGTGTCTAATTTAATGAAGTCCTGTGCCATGTTTAAATTTGTTAGGCCAAATGACTTGGTCACTCTGAGGCCTTTCAGGCCTTGGATCTTAGGGGTCACTTCTTGGCGGTGTTCATGGCTGAACTGAGCTCAGCCCTTTTCAACTGGATGCTTAGAAAGGGCCCAGAGCCCTCGGATGGGTGTGTGGGTGCTGCATGTTGTCTGTGGAGGGGCCATAATATTCAAACCAGCTCTTCTGCTCCCCGCCTTTCCCCTCCTCTTTACTTCCCTCCTTCTCCCCTTCTCTTTTCCTCTCCTCCCTTCTGCTCCCTCTCTCTCCCCTTCCTTCTCTTCTATTCCCCTTCTCTCCTTCCCCACCTTTCCCTTCCTCTCCCCTCCCCTCCCTTCTGCTCCCCTCCCCCTCTCCCCTTCCATTCCCCTCTCCCCTTTTCTCCCCTCCCCTCTGGGGCCAAAGGTTTCCCCCATTTCATGTTGACAGGACACCTGGGGAGCTTGCGGCTGAAATCTGACCCTTTAGTAGCACAAATAAGTGAGGACTTGTCATTCCCAGTTGTGACCCTGTGTTCTTTCCTTTTAGCCAGGAAGACCAAAAAACAGGTGTTTGTCAGCTACAATCTTCAAAACACAGACAGCAACTTCACACTGCTCATAGAAAACAGGATCAAGGAAGAAATGGAGGCTTTCCCAGAAAAGTTTTAACCCAAAAAAGAGCACGGTAGCATCAGATGATTTGTAATTTATGTACATTAAACAGAATAAATTGAGTGTATTTCACAGCACGTCTAACATGGAGTCAGTGTGTTTGAGTTTTGTTTTTTAAAATAAGCCTTACAACCCTTCCCTTGGGCAGCTAGGTGGCTCAGAATCCCCCAGTCTGGAGTCAGGAAGACTCATCTTCATGAGTTCAAATCCAGCCTCAGAAACTTACTAGCTGTGTGACCTTGGGCAAGTCACTTCAACCTGTTTGCTTCAGTTTCCTCATTTCTAAAATGAGCTGGAGAAAAAAAATGGCAAACCACTGCAGTATCTCTGCCAAGAAAACCCCAAATGGCGTCACGAAGAGTCATGCAGGACTGAACCACAACTTCCTTCATCCATTTTTTTTATATTCATGATCAGAATGGTTTGCTTCCCCATTTTCATCTCTTCCATCCCTTCCTCTAACTCCTTTCCTCTTTTTTTCACCTCTTCCTATAACTTTTCTTCTTCAGCCTTTGACTTTTTACCTTCTGATTAGCAGTGTATTCAGCTTCTCATATAAAGGCCTGCCACATCTTTCTCTCAAATTTTTCAGCCAGCCATCTGATATTACAGTTCATGTGGATTTAGTTTGATTTCCTGGCCCTGCATCTGCTGTGTGTTGGGATCAATTCTTCGGGTTCTGAGGGATACTTTTTTTAAGGTTTAGCTCTGATTTTATTGAATCAGTACCAGTGGGAACCTGGTATCTCTCCCAATTGAGGCATATCTATAATTACTCTCAGACAGTTGCCTGGGGCGAAGAGACATCAAGTGAGTTGCCTGTATGTCACTATGTATGTGTCAGGCATGGAATTCCTGATTCTACAACTTCCTTCTATGGCTCTCTTCATGTGTTATGTTTAGCTCCCTGGAAGGCATTTCTTACATTGATAATAATCTTATATTAAGCTGTTAGGAAATGACCCAGTTGATGGTGGAAGGAAACATGGTTTGGTAGATTGAGTTAGACCTGGTATTTTTGTGAGAAGCTTCATTTCTAACATAATACTCAGTTTTGCTAGACCCCTGAGCAAAGGTATTCAATCTCCACATGCCTCGGTTTTAAACTGAGATGTTTGTAGCCTGGAAAGGAGAGTAGGGTATTTCTGTTGTCCTAGAGAAAAGCAGCCCTTTCCATAAAGCTTTAAAAGTTTTTAAAAAAAGGTTTTAAAAGAAGGGCAGAACTGTTGAGGAAAGATAGTTAATAAATATTCTCTTTAAAAAAGGACATTTTCAGGGCAGCTAGGGGGTGAAGTGGATAGAGCATGGGCCTTGAAGTCAGGAGGACCCAAGCTCAAATCCAACCTCAGACCAAACACTTGACACTTAATAGCTATGTGACCCTGGGCAAGTCACTTAACCCCAGTTGCCTAAAGAAAAAAAAAAGACATTTTCTAAGTTAAAAAAATTGATCTACATCCTAAGAGTGAGGTTTGGGTCACTTCTGAGGCATTTCTGTTATATTCCTGTACTAGAGGGGAGTTCTTATTCCTTATTTTAATTTTGTAGTAGTCTTAGGTTGAAAGAGATTGGGCCGTGCCATAGAATGACCACAACACAACCACTCCCTCCCCAGCAAAACAACTCTAAACTTTCATTATTAAATTGTAAGCAACTATAAAAACTATTAGTTTAGTGGCCTGAGTACAGCATTGGGTCGGAATAATTTGCGGTCAGATGTAGATAACAGTGCTGGCTAGTTCTCACGAAGAATGGGAAGAAACACCAGGACCCGGCTTCCTAGGGCTGGAATAAGGACTAAGGCATATTGATATTTTGAGATTAGTTTGAGGATCCTTGATTTCATTAATGTGTGGGTAGTCCCTTCAGTGCTGCAATGGGAAACCCCACTTTGATGATGGATATAGAATTAGTATGAACCTAAGTCATTAGTTTTTTTTTTCTGTAGTTGTGGAAATGGGCTTAGAGGTAAAGTCATTTGGTTACACAGTTGCAAATAGGTGGTCTTCAATAACTTTCTCTGGCAAACGAAAATTCACCTGTTGTCCATTTCTCTATTCAGAATGATTTGGTCTGGTCCTTACATGACAGATAGACATTGAATTTATCTATGTCTGTTGTAGGAACTGTGAGACCTCAACCCCAGGTGGCTCTGGAACAGCTTTTGAACAGCTTTTATATACCTAACATCACCTTTACTGGACTAGGAACTTAGTGGAGAACCAATGCAAATTGGCACCTTTTCTCCCACTTGTCTTAAAGCTAATAAAAACAGTATACGTTTGCTAAATCTCATGGTGATGTACCACATTTGATCATATCAAGTAGGAGCCAAGAAAGACATTCCATAGGAGTTCTGGTAATGGGGCAGCTTTTTTTTGGGTTTTTATTTCTGTACATTCACATACAAATTTCTCAGTAGGTACAACAGATGTAACATCATGCAGACACTTAGCTAGTTAAGACAGTTTCAGTACTTGATTTAAGCTTGTGCTATGGGTAAGCACCACCAGCCTAATCATGATCAAAACGTACAGTAACAATTCTTTAATTAGAGCCTCATCAGAAACGGAGGGAGTTGGGGCAGGGAAAAGGAAGAGGGGAGAGGAGTGGGGGAAGGAAGAAAGGAAGGAAAGCTTACCCACTAGACATTACTCTGTATTCCTTTCCCAAAACATTTTATACACTACATTAAAATGAGGTTTTGTCTAAAAAAAAAAAAGAGCAACAATAGCAGTTGAAGTGCAGGATGCCATCCAGTGTGAGCCATCCAGAGGCTACAGGTGATGTGACATTCAAAGCCCATTTCACAGCACTCCTACTTCCAGTTTTGTGACTTCGGCTTGGCTCTGGGAAGTATCAGGTTTAAGCGGGATACTTCCTTTTGGGAATCATTAGCTCTTTCTTGCTCAGTGATAGACTAAGCCAACCACTCCATCCCCTTTCCAGTTGCCAGTGTGTCTATGGCCAACCAGCCTCTTAGACGATAAAAACAGACTATGGTGCTTGGTAGCACAAAGCATCCTTGAGAACTTGGAGGTGGGATGGGTGGGGTGGTGCATGGGTGATGGGGAAGAAAGGCTTTGTGCGTCAATCGTTGGAAAAGGGAGACAAAGGAGATAAGACAGAGCCCCCTGGTGGTTGAAAAATCTAACTAATGAGGTTTCAGAATGAAATGGATTTACATGTAGGTAGCTGGCAAGTACATCTTTGAATGCTCTCTATGGGGGAGAGGGGAAGAGGAGGCTGACTGGAAGCAGCGAGTCGCCTGAGAAAAGCGTTTCCTTTGTGTCAACCATGAAGGAAACAGGATTGAGTAGTTTTCAAGTTTGACAGACAAGTCATTAAGTAGCTGCCAGAGCACCCATCTGTACACAGAGCAGGGCAGACAAGATGCAGGACGCAGACGCCCTTTTCTCCATCCCTGCTGCCTCACTTGGTACATTACTCTTCTGGGCTCTCTCCATAGAGAGGTTCTTCTGATTTGACTACATTCAGTAAAAATGTTGGCTGGCACCAAAAACTTTTCCCAGCTGATGATGCCATCGAAAGGAGGAGTTAAACCTGGCCCTTTAACCCTGGGTGAGTTTTGAGAGGGATGTGCCAACAGAATCAGAGGGATGCCTGCCTTGCTGAGAGGTGTGCCACTTACCAGGTTCCAAGCAAGATAATGTCATTATAGTCAAGCAGACTGGGCAAAAAAAATCAAAATTAAAATCCCTCCTCTCCTGCTTCTTCTCCCTCATCCCCCAGCTTCTAAAGCTAAGAACCAGGACTTTATTTTTAACTCCTGTCACTTTTTAATTCCCATCATTAATCCATCCTGTTGTTTGATACGTTCTAGTGTTTTGTTTTTTCCTTCTGTTCATTGGCCCTGTTGGATGTTGTCTGTTGTTATTGTTTTTCTACGTTAAGAGAATAGAGACCCTGAAACAAGAAGGGTTCTCTGAAGCACTGTGCGTGACTCCACGAGGTGACAGGCAGCTCAGGAGCATGGACAGCTTTAATACGTGTTATTTGAAAAAATCCACGGGATTCAGACCGCAGTTTCAAGAATGCTCATAGATATCATTCACTAAAAAGCTGTTACAGTAAATGGATTGCAAGGTGTACCAGCTGTGTGTGTGTGTGTGTGTGTGTGTGTGTGTGTGTGTGTATATATACATGTGCATTTGTGCACACATGCCCAGGTGTCCAGTCTGTGGTCCAAAGAGCCCTTGCTGACCGCCCCTCCCCTCATGTGTCTGATGCTCTCACTTCAAGGCCACATCTGTATTTTTCATCTACTTACATGGATTTTGTTGCCATGTGATTTTGTTGCAAGTACTCTATAAAAGGCAAAAGGTATTTCACAAGTTTGGCACGTGAAGACTGCACACATCTAAAGAAAGGCCCTTTTCAAGGTGAATGCAGACTGAAAATTTGCAACATGTAACAAAGGAGACCCAACTTTAAGTCATACGAGCAACTACAGAGGGTAAGAACAGTCATACAATGCAATGGTAGCTGAACTGAAGTCAGCTGTGTAACAACAGCCTGTTTCCCCACTGATTGTTTATTACCAGGTTGCTTTTAAAGTCCGTCTTCACCTGCTCCAGTGTTTCTTAGGAAGAGTCTTTTTAGAACCCAGATACATAGCCTGGTTCTCCATGACAGCAGCAGGTTTTAATGTTTTGGACACAGTTTAGAAAACACCCCTACTTTTGTTTGCCTTCTTCACTCCGATAATCTCATCTCTTCGATTAACATCCCACCCCAGTGCTGATGCCCCCCACCCCGGCACTGAGGAACAGGTCACTCAGCTGCTACCTACTGCTACAACATTGTGCCACTGTTAGGAGGACCAAGGTCGGTGGAGACAGCAGGTACATAGATGAGGTAAGGAGCTAGGATGGGGAAACAGAGCACAGATTAACCCCTTTTCTGGGCTCTACAACATCAAGCTCCATAGCAGGTGGCAGATGCGTGGCTGCCTACTACACAGTACCCATCCTGGCACTTAGACCATTGGAAGATCTAACTTTGCCCCAGAACAAAGACATATATAACACACGGCGTCGACTAAGACAGAAAAAACTTCTTGCTCAGGAAAAAACTCGAGTTTGATCCTTCTCTGAGCTTGACCAAGCAAGAGCCAAAGGTTGTCAGTACTTAGGCATCTGTGGGAACTGTGTGGAAATGGGGTCTACTGACTCCATGTAATTAATTAATTGCTTGGTTAATTGCTTGCTGTTACTACAAAGGGGCATCACATCTGAGTCCCCTAAAAGTTCCTTTTTTAGTGGGCTAAAATAGGATATAAGATTTTAAAACGTTAACATTATTGAGGAAACCTCACAACACTGCCATGTCCATCCCTACTCTGGGGATGGCTTCAAATGACAGAAGGCCAATGAATCTGTGGACAAATTCCAGGAATGTGCAAAATGACCTCCAAATGCATACAACAGTTGAAATTACCCATGAGACTTTTTTTTTGGGGGGGGGTGCACAGAATTAAAATCCAGCATTATTTTTTTAAAAAAGTATTATATCATTTTATAGGATTTCCTTTTTCTGTCCTCTCTCTCATTCTTTTTTTTTTTTGGAAGGGTTTGGATAGAAAACAGACTGATTTGAGGTTAACCTCTCTTTCCTGCCCTGCTGCTGCCCTGATAAGCAGTGAAGTGGACGAAAAGATTGGGAGAAGCAGAGGACTTGGTGGATAACCCACATGTCAGAAAGAGTCAATAGTAAAATATAAGCAAGTGTTTTCCTCGAGGGTGTGTGCTCTCAACATGTATACCTGGTAAGGTTTTTGTACTGCCTCCCTCTATTCATTTATTATCATTGTTGTCACTTTTCGGTATCATTTGCTGATTGGAAAGTAGCCATTCTTTCAAGTAGAGTCTGCAACGGATGCTGCTAAGGGACTAGGGAGATTTTAGCTGAAAGGCATCTGGGTAGGAGCATGAGTCTCAAGTTCTTGATGCTGTGTCCTGCCTCGGTACACCTATTATTGATTTATCCACTTCATTAGGCAGCCCCGGCATCAGAAAACTGGATCCACAGCCAGTTTGGGTTTTCTTCATTTTGAATGAAATGCTTAGGATTTTTCCCAAAGGAGCTTCAAACATCATTGCTCAGTACAAAAGAACCATCCTGAAAGAAGACCCACATACCTGCTTTATTGGGATTTGTGAACTGCTTAATCTAATTGTGAAATGGGAAGGTCTTACCTTACATGTAGAAAATGACATTTCTTTTGTTTTAAACCACATACAGAGACACCATCAAAACCTAATGAATTTTACTTTTCCCCCCTTGTCTAAAATACAGTCACAGTTTCATTCACAACAGCATCATTTGCTTATACTCAAAGGCGCCTTGAGGGTTTGGGGACAGGAAGAAATCACTTTTTGCTCTCCTGGGTCATAGTGTGTTCATCTTCTATAGAAAAGATGCCTCTTTCAGGTTTGGATTTTTTTTTTTTGCTTTGTTTCTTAAGGTCTCTTTCTTGGAATGGCTGTACCTCTCCACAAGAGAAGGTTCATTTTAATTTGTGATTAATGAGAGGAAAAGGGAATAAAGTGCTTCTTGTAAAAATGACCAAAATAAATACAAACATTTAATGGCAGAAAAAGAAGGTCTTTAAAGGTATCTCTCCAGCCAGTTTCTTCCCTCAAATACATCATCCCGATGCTTTCCAGTTGGCAGAAATTTCCTCACCCCGGTTGAAAGTCTCTTGTGATTTAAGTGGCTTTAGCAGCAGATTTGACCTTTCCTTTCCGAGTTGGCCATACCTGCCATCGTTGCAGGTCTGTAAAACCTGTGCCAGATAAAAAGAAAACCTGACCCGAAAAGGGCTCCCCTCCTGAAGTGACCAAAGCAGCCCAGTTACATGGACTTCATCCCGTTTGCTGTGGCGTTTTCCGGCAGCCCGTCTCCCATGGCGGCCACGTCGTGGAGGCCGGAGTAGTCCTTGAGTTCTGAGTTTGTGAGCAGGAGGGGCTGCTCTCCCTTCTTGTGGGGCAGGAGGGGCTGCCGCGTGTAATGTTCCCCATTGAGGATGTTCTCTGGCAGGTTCTGGTTCTTGCTCTCCGGCAGGAGGAGAATGCAGATGATGCAGATGAGGGTACAGCAGGCAAAGATGATGTGGTGAAGGAAGTATCCCTTCTGGTTGTGCAGCTCTATGATCGGGGCGGTCAGCATGCCGAAGCCGGCGCTGGCCAGGACCAGGCCCAAGCCTCCACACCTGCTCGAGGGACGGGAGACAAGAGAAGGAGATGATCTTTGGGTCATAGAAGGAGCTTGTGTGGCTGACCTATAGCTTTTCTGGAAGTGTAGGTCTCCCATGTCAACTCCCTTTCCCCCTAACACAAGTGGCTCTCTATCAACTCCAGGATCAAGCACAGAACCCTCTGTGTGGCAATCAAAGCCCTTCACGATCTAGTCTTCCCTTACCTTTCTAGTCTTCGTATAGCTTATACTCCCCTCTACCCTCAGCATTCTCTTCAGTCTAGAGCCATTGGGCTCCTTGCTGTTCCTCAAACAAGACACTCCCATCTGCATCTTTGGGCACTTTCACTATCTGTTCCCCCAAGCCTGGAATGCTAGCTCTCCCTTATCTCTGCCTCCTGGCTTCCTTCAAGTCCCAGACAAAATCCCACCTTCTACAGGAAGTCTTTCCTGGTCCCTCTTAATTCTACAATCTTCCCTCTGTTGATTATTTTCCAGATATCCTGTATATAACTAGTCTATCCAGAGTCTGCCCCAGAACATTCTAACTTCTCACCAAACCATCCACTGAGATTGGGAGCTTTCCCAACTCTTAATCCACTGTTGGTGGCTTGGGTAGTGGAGCCCAAGTGTTGGGTTTCCAACTAGGGCTACCCTCACTGATGCATTCAATAACCATTGTCTGGCACATTACAGAACAGATCTGCACTTATTTAAAAAAAATATCCTGTGCTAATATCCCTGATGTGGTATAATGAAAAGAGCATTAGACTTGGATTCAGAAGACTTAGGCTCTAATCCCATATGTGACACTCTAAGCAAGGCAAAACCTCTCTAAGCCCCAGTTTCTTCATCTGTAAAAGGGGTATAATAATACACAGGGTGGTAATGAGGAAACTGCTATACAGATATGCTCTTTTATGAGCTAGTCTTTATTAGGCTCCTATTGTATGCATAGGACTATATTGGCACTGGGAGGAATCTTACACAGCTTAGATAAGACATGATCTCTGCCCTCAAGGAAACTTTTTACAGTATAGTAAGGGGATATGATAAAGACAAATAATTATAATACAAAATAATATGTGATTCATCAGAGGTATATGCAAAGTGCTATATGTGGGGATGGGGGATACTGTTCCCAAGAAAAGGAGATCAGGAAAGGCTTACACGGAAGACATGGCATTTGAAATGAATTTTTAAGGAACACAAGCATTAAGTCCCATGAGGAAAATAAGTGAAGTGAGGCTCACTATGGGTGACTTCCCCACAGGCACAGCCCTACTAAGTGTCAGAGGCAGAATTAGAACCCAGGTCTTCCTGACACTAAATCCAACACTCTAGTCACTCCATCATGTCCCAGGGACTGAATATGAGGGATTCAAGACAAGGACAAGGTCACATCAGGGAAAGAAGAAAGGGGGAGAGAAAACATAGATCCATGGGGAGGGAAAGGGGAGTTCCCATGACTCCTTGTATGGACATTCATATGCCAGAGAAATCAATATCACAGAAAAAACCAACAAACACAAGTCCTAATTTTACACATGTCTTTGCAACAGCTTTGTAAGTCCAGGGCAGGGGCAAAGGAGAAGAGTGCAAGGCCAGGAATAGATCTGGGGCTGAGGAAAAGGGGTAGTTGTCATTACTAGCCTGGATGGTCAGAGAGGTGGATGGGGCCTGAGAAGCAGGCAGTAATAACAGCAAGATGGAAGGGAGCCTCCCATGTTATTAAAGATTGTTTTTAGAAGGTCAAGATGCACTTCTTCAAGTGGGCCTGCAAAGTGATACTTTTTGTCCGTAAGGCACAGCTGGATAATATTCAATGCAAAGGAGTGTGTGTAACCATTATTAAAATGGAGGAAGCGTTAATGTGAGTTGTAAGTATAGGTGGAAATTATTGGGAGTTAGTAGGAAAACCATTTATTTGTAGTAATTATCATGAAATCCCTGTTGCTGCAGTATGTGCAGACAGGGAACACTCACACAGGACAAGCTGCTCTAATTTTCACTTATTCTTCTCTCTATACCCTTCCCCAGTGTGTCTCCCCCCTCCCATATACAGTGTGGACAAAAGCCCATGGAATGTGGTAGCCTGCAGTGCAGGAAATCCATATAGGATATAGGGGCTGCTGTATAGGAGTCTGTGTCCCAGGGATGATTTTTACAAAGTGAGGCTTTGTGCAAAAGTTAAAAAGGAAAAACCAAAATGTAAAGAGTGGGTTGGGTTTTTTTTTTAGTTATTTTCTTAGAGGACCATTTTGCTACAATAAAAACTTAAAGTCCCACATCAATCTTAACTATTACAATTATAAAACTAGGTGCCCCTCCAGCTCAGGCCTTCTGACTAAATTCCATAAGTTATTTCTATGTGTGCTATTCTCCCGGGTATGTAATTTAATCTCTATTGGGCTTCACTTTCCTTATCTAAAAAACAAGAGGACTGAATGTGATGAGTTCTAAGGTTCTCTTCTGGCTCTATAATCCTATGGTACTTACCTTGTGGCAGGTAAGGTCATTCGGTTAATTAAATGAATGGGCAGATTAAATCTGGAAGCTCAAAATTAAGTTCTGAGTAATTCAATGGATAAACAACACTCCCACCTAAAACAGACACTTCTGATAGATATGGCTACTTCTGTAAGCTCAGAATATGATGCCTCTGTGATGTACCACATGCCTGAGAAAATAGATTCATCATCTCTGAGGCCCCTGATAATAATAATAATAGTAAATAAATAAAACTAGCATTTATCTAGAACTTTAAATATATGTCATCTTATTTTGTCCTTATAACAAACCCAGGAAGGTAAGTGCTATTATTATCCCCATTTAGCAGAGGAAACTGAGGCAAGCAGAAGTTAGCATCTTGACCAGAGTCACACTGTTGACTAAGTGTCTTGAGACGATTAAGACTGATCCTGTATCATTTTCTTATTGATCCTATTTACAAGTAACTGCTCTTGTCCTGTAACTTCTTAAGTCAGTTCTCTGTCTCTGAACTTAGTTCAGAATTCAGCTGGCCTATAATGGATTAAATTTTAAAAATCCAGCTCTTCTTGCCTCAAGGAATTTTGTTAACCTTGGGGAATGTGTATGACAGAAAGGGAATTGGGCCTGATATCTTTACTCCACCCAGCTATCTTTCAGGGATGTCTGGTTTGCTGTCCAAAAGTCTGGGCTGCTATCTCATACCTGCACTCAGACAATGAGTCTCATGAGAGAAGAAGGGGGGTCATTGCTAGCCCCCACGACTAACTTCCAACCAATTATGTTGTTTCCTGCACCTCAGCTCTATAACCAATCATGTTGCCCTCAATCCCATGATGTCATCTACCCTGTTCATTGTTCTCTCCTTCCCAAAACCAATAAAAGGGGAACTGCCCTTTTGCTTGGCGTTTTTGGCATTAAAGGAGGTAATCCACTGACCCATTTATTGGCAGGCAGCATGCCCCTGTTAATAAATGTTATCTTGCTTGGAGATCTGCCTTGGCTTATCCTTTTGTTAAGATCTCAAATTCAACAGTCTGAGGCTGGATTTGAACTTGGGTCTTCCTGAGTCTAGGCCTAGAGCTCTGTCTACCATGCCAGCTAGCTGCCTCTAATAAAAGCTCAATTTAGGCCTCTTCTTGGAGAGGAAGAGAAATAAACTTTGGCCCTCTGTAGGCAAGCAGAGTGACTGACTCCACATTTCTTAAGGCACATAATGCCCAAATGTGCTTTAATCTGCAGAAATATATAGGACACAGACAATCCTGAGATATAGGCACATATTGCAGTCTGATCACCATCCTGAGTTGAAGGAAATGAAATCTATTTAACTTTGTGCTTGGAGCAGGATTATTCCCAACAGAAAACTTATCTAAATGGAGCACCTACTCGGCAAAAGGAAAAAGAGAAACGCAATTCCAGAGAAGGGACTTTTTCCACTTGAAGCTACTCTTAACGGGGCAGACAGGTGGCACGCTGAATAGAATGCAGGGTCTGAATCAGGAAGACTCACTTTTGTGAGTTCAAATCTGGCCTGAGACATTTATTAGCTGTGTGGCCCTGGGCAAGTCACTTAACTCTGTTTGCCTCAGTTTCCTCATCTGCAGAATGAGCTGCAGAAGGAAATGGCAAACCACTCCAGTTTCTTTGCCAAGAAAACCCCAAACGGGGTCGTAAAGAGTCAAACACACTGAACAACATTTCCAACTGGTCTTTTAGTTTAAGACACAAACCCACTTAGGTCTTCTAGACTCTGTGGCTGTTTTTTTGTCCCAAATGTCATGCTGCCTCTCTTTGTTTCTAGTAGTAAACATAAAATAAAGCCTAGAAAAGGACCTAGGGGGGCATAATATAATACAACAAACATTTATTAAGTATAGAGAGGGAGCTTTGTTCCACAAGGGACCACAGAAGGAAATGCTGGTCTTACACCAGAAATAGCGGTAGCAGAAAGAGAAGCTAGTTGAGTGGATCCTTGGAATCTTTGGAAGAGTCTGATGAGACCCCAAAATATGCTAACACAATCAGGGAACCTCCTCCCTTTCTCCACACTCCACTCTCTTCTCCCCAAAGCCCTAGCCCCAGGAGCTGGAGCTAGAGGAGTCTGTGCTCCCTGAGGTAGGTATGGGATTTTCTGGTGTCTGAGTTTGAATGCATTTCCTCAAAGCAACCTCATGAGGCATAGTGGGGGGGGGCGGGGGGGGGCGGCTCTCTTCTACCTCAGCCATCTAAGTTAAGTAAGTTAAATAGACTTTTTTGTGGGGAATGGCTTCCAATCATCGTGGATAACAACAACGTTTCTGTGAACACATGCATTCAAGGTTGCAAATAATCAATTTAAAACTGTACTTCTGTAACAATAATCCTTTTGTAAGCTGGGATAGGGCATGGTCTGTACTTCAATAGAAACTTTCTGCATTTCTCCACATTGACACGAGAGGGCAGGCTTAGCTCACATCTGAGTGGCGCCAGTTCTGTCTCTGGGAAAAATGATCCAGCCTTATACACAGCCTCAGAAGGTGCAGC